TTTTTGCAATGTATTTGGTTTCACAGTCTGCTGGAACGGGGAGAACCGGCTTTCAAGACGATTTTGGCTTTTTGCCATGCCAAGCTGAATTAGGCTGCTAGATGACAGGCATACCCCAGAGAAACCAAAGATAAATGCCAATTTTAATAGGGTTGTTTGTTTATCCTTTTCTCTCCAGTTAATAAGTATGAATGAGCCCCAGATTCAGTCCAAGAATCATGTCATAGGCAGGAAGTTAAGAAAAAAAAAGAAGGGTTTGGGAGTTAGTCCATGATTTACTACTGAAGTTTTGTTAAGACCAAAGATTAAAAATAACTTGGTAAATTACTATCATTTCCTCCTGATAAAAGCACAAAACACTTTTGCGTGAGACATAAATACATACCAGTGCAGGTGTATAAATATATCGTTACGTGTAAGGTTTTCAGAATTGGTGTTCAGAAGTGTTTATCAACTATATTTATTTTTTAAGAGTATAAACAGGAAATAATTGTCACAGTTGAAAACAGAATTGGCTTGAGGAGTCAGATGCTTGATATTTTGATGTAGTTTACTCCAAAGGGTAGATTATCATCACTAAGGCCAGTTTTTAGAAATCAACCCCACAGCAACTAAAGAGTAAGCATTTTTAATGTCCTCACAATTGTGCCAGAGAGTATAAACTAAATGAGATTTTGAGCGTTTTTGCTCGCTGATACTTTTTCCTAACAGCGTTTGCCAAATAGATTTTTGATTGTATTGAAGGTTGTGGATTCTCATTTGAAAATAAACAAACAAATCCTGCCAAAAATTAATGCCAATCAATAGTTCGATTTATTTTGGAGCTCTTAGGAATTTTATTATGTTATTTTTCTATGAGCGGCTAAGGGGAGTATTCACTTTCTTGAATTGTAGAAAATTTTTCATATTATACTTACGCACCATTGAATTGTTTTTATTTTAATTGTTTTACTGTGCGTACCATGGCCTTTGGGTTTGTTACGTTTTTCACCTAGATGTTATTCATCTTTTCTGAAGGCGACTTTTAAATGACATCAGATCTCACCTTGACCTTTTGACTTAGGACTGGGTTTATTTAATCGGATAAGTTGATTGTAGTTTGGTTTAAAAAAATTTAATGTTACTTTGCTATTGGGAAAATAATCCTTCGCAATGATGTATTATCCTGTGCCGTCGACCTAAATGTTTCAGGGCGATGAAAGGCCATTGACACAGTTGTCAAAGCAAGAGTAACGAATGTAGCAAACAAACATTCATTCCCTAGAAATGTTTGGCATAATTGCTGACATGGTAATAGTTAGTACATAGTCTTTTGGTGGTCTTTGCAAAGGCTTGAGGGCTTACATCATCACAGGGAGGTTAAAAATGAGGCTTTCAATAATACACATAAGCAAGGGTGAAATCATTTTCCCACATGATGCATATGGGAAACCATACCTATGCGAAATTACGTAATAAGTATTCTTTTTAGGGTGTTTTGCCGTGGATTGAATTACTCTGAAAACGATTCAAACTTATCAAAAGAACCACATTCCTTTGCCTCCTCTTTAAAAATCCATGTTCAAAACATCTTCCATACCATACCCAGTAGTATTTTCATACTTGCCCCTTTGTGAGACATTATTAGTAAACAGTGTACTTGCCAGAGGGACATAGAAATGCTAGTGCAGCAGGTGTCACTGAAAGCAGGAAAGCATAGGCCACGGGGGTGGGGGGGGGGGGTAGTACCAGCTCAGGACTGCGGGGACTTCCCACTCCCAGCTGCTGAGTTCTCCCCATTTGGGTCCTTCCTGTAGGTTTTGACACCGTGGACCAAGGTGTGGTCCCCCTCTTGACCCTTTTATTTCTGGCTCTTCCACTCAGTCTGACCACTCTTTCTGAGAATTTCCTGCTCCCCTCTAACTGCATCTCGGTAGCATCCGCAATCCCAAGTTTATCCTGTCCTCTCTCAAAAGCCGCAGGAGGAAGTAGAGAAAGCACGAGTTTGGGATTCAGACAGAAGTGGTCTTGTGTTCCAAACGTATGACTTGCCAGTTGTGTGTCGAGGGTCATTAACTTCACCTCTCTGTGCTTCAGTTTCTGCCTCTGTGTCAAAGCAATAATGATGCTTATAGAACTGGTGCATCACCTGCGTGTCTGGGACACAGTGTAGCCTATTACATGTTAGTTCTCTTAGGTCTTCCAGGTAAAAATTATAGTAAAATTAATTTTATTGACCTGTGTCTTTACTGGCCTCACTCCCCAATATCTAGCAGTAGCCTCCAGTCAGCTGTGATATAGATTTTCAGCAACAGCTCCCCAGCAACGTGGTGTCGGTGTTTCAGACACAGTGAGGGTACCAAATAGGTGGGGTGAAGATGCCTTTAAAGGGCTTAGTTCGGCAAACTCAAGCACTCTCTAAGTTTCTGTTGATTTTGCCATACACAGAAATTTGTTTTAGCAGAGCCTTTAAGAAGGTAGGAACAGGCTACCTTTTGAGTAGCGTAACTGTCTTACCAAGATGATTTGGAGATAAAGGATTGTGGTGTATTTTGGCCAGAGGACCCAATAATGCTTATCTTCTGCTCTACCTCTGTGGTACCCAAAGGAGATGCTTGTAGTGAGGACATTGACAAAGCAAGACGAAATACAGAGGCATTAGAAGCTGCGGCCTTGATCTTGAGTCCCCGTGCAGAGCTCTGTTACTCTAGGCTAGAAGAGGCAACAGGCTCCGTTCCCCTAGGTGAGTAATGACCTGGAAGCAATACCCTCCATTAAGTAGGGCTGATTCCTTTAAGCCCAAACCAGTGTCAGACATTAACACTGCAATGTGGAGAGGAAGACTAATGAAGGCCCACATCCCATAACAGAAAGAAAGGATTCAGGAGGACAGGTTTCCTTAGTGTCAGGCCTGGCACTGGACTACCCCACCTGCCTCAGGTCCCGGGCAGGGCCCGAAGCAAGTCGAGCTTCCCTGGGGGAGAGAGATGCAGAAAGCTGGAGAGATGGCTAGGTGGAGGGGAGAGAAACTAGACCCCATCCACATGCTGACCTGATCAAGTTCCACCTGTAAAGGTGTACTCATATATTAGGATAATGAAAAGTCACAAAATCATTCCATTAATGAAATTAGATTATTATTATTTTTGCAGTAGCATTGCATGTCTTGACCAAATCAGTGTTCCTATCCCTACATCAGTGTTCCATCTGTGTTTTCTGATTCATCTTGGAGGTGGGCTTTGGGAAGAGCCAGGAGTTACATCCCCAAAGCAGCCTCCCTTTCCAATCTCTATTCTCTTGGGCAGTTACACTACTGACAACTGTTCTTTCCTCTTGCCTAATACCCCCAGTAGGCCTGCATTGTTCTCAAGTTCAAGTTCAGACTTGTCAGTTGGTTGGTGCTCAAGGCCCTTTGTACTCTGGTAGCGTATGACCTCAGTAGCCTCCCCTCTTGGCCATATACCCGGCCTCCCACCATCACTGTGCCTGTAGCTCCATTGCTCTGCTAGTGTGGACATACCACCCACGTGGTCACTGCCATTCCTTTGTTTCTGCCCTTCCCTCTACCAGAATGCCCTTTCTACCCACCTGTAAAGTTTAACTCAAGCCTTGTGTCCTGTGGAACGCCTTCCTTGATGCCCCCTTGTAGAATCAATTGTTCTTTTGTGGTTTCATAGTATACTCTATAAATACTGCATTGTATGGTGGTTGGTGGTAGTTCTGGTTTTCCCATCAGTGCATGGACTGCGATCCCTTATGTAGGAAACATGTCTTATTTAATTCCCGTTTTCTTATCTGTATTTATCCAGTCTATTGACAGATACATATGAAATGTTCAGTATATTTGGTTGAATTGTTTTTATTGTAGAAATAGCTTCAAATCCTTGTAGACTCTTTCCTACACACCTGTAGAGATTTTGTAAGTGGGAACTAAATGACAAGGAAAGAAAACCTCATTTACCCTAAAATTGGTTTTAATTCCATGCGAGGATCACTAACCACTGCAACATTAGCATTTTGTCCTGATAAAATGTCAGTGCGGCAGATCCAGTGAAAATCGATGGAGTGGTTTTACATGTAATTAAGATAAAGCTTTTCGCAACTGAATACAGAAGATATTTTGTAACACGCGCCTAAACTAAAGCATCTGAGATGAGGACATATCTTTTGATTTTAGTAATAGAATCATTTTGCAATTGATAGTTGTCTTCATATTTGAGTGCAGCCAGGAATTCCTGAATTGACACTTGTTTCTCTTCTCTGAAAGGTTTCTCAGAGGTTGATAGTATGACTTCTGTTTCCAAAAGCCCAAAGTCCCAAAAGCCACAAATCCTCTTTTAGCAAACCATGGGTGTCCCTGAACTGGTTGTCTCAAAAAAAAAAAAAAAGAGAGACCTAATGTACTCAGCTGTGACTGTTTTCCTCCCGGTCTGTGCTGTCCTTTGCTGGCTATTTCTCAGCTGGAATATTTGCAAAGGAAACATTCAGGCTGAGGAGAGGAGACTTGGAGATGGTCAAGCTCTGGACTGTCCATAGCTGGCCCTTTGTCACAGCCCAGGTGGGTCTTCTCTGCTCTACGCTGCACCCATCATTTCTTTGTGACTCTCATTGAAAACTTGGGGCCTTTCAAACAGAGAAGATTTCCTACTCTACTAAATAAAGTACTTCAATAATAATAATAATAGTCACACAATATGGAAGTATTTTAGCCACGCTATACACATGCATTACCAAAACCCCCTCTATTTCCATAAACTGAAAAAAGGCACCAGGCGTGACTCTCGATTGGGATCCATTAATGAGATGGTCACCAGAGTTTTAGTCACTTCTCTGCTGTCACTTTTGATTGAAACCAGCAGAGATGTGTTTTGGCAAATCTATTCATAATTTGTCTTTCCTTGTAGGGCTCCCCCTGTAATTGAGTTTCCCATCAGGGAGTCAGTTGGAGTTAATGTATGGACAATCTGCTGTGATTGACGACGAATGTCTTGTTAACATTCTCCCCTCTCTTCCACCCACAGAGCAATGCCAAGACTTTTGGTTTAAAGAAGTCAAAGGAAGAACAATCTCTTCAAATAAGAAGATCTTCTTCAAAGGTAGGAGCTTATCTTCTTAAAAGGTTTGAATTAGTAATTGGTTCAAGAAGGGAATTATACCATAAAATGATGTGTTTATGTAATAGTATTGCCGTGTTTAATACTGTCCATCCAGAGAGTATGATGAAAGACAGCGAGTAGGGATAATGGTCGCAGAAACATGAATCATACTGCATGTCAGAGAGGATGGATCAAATACACAGGGAAGAAAACCAGCTCTTCATGTCTTTTCATAGTAATAAGATTCTTGTTTTTCTAAATCATGAATTGTACAAAGTTCAGAAAATAGATAGCAGAATAAAAGCATTGCTAGTAAACAATAGGTTTCTGATGGAATGAAAGATTTAAAACGGTAAGGAATTATTTGTAAGAAAGTTTTCTTTTTGATTCAATCATCTATCAAAAATCCCCTGAGAACATATTGTCCAAGTAATACAAAAGTCTGTTTGGAAAGTTTCAGTGTTACTTTGATACAGGCTTTCTGCTTTGTAAATCTCTTTCCCACCCTAGTCCAATTTATATCATTTGAATTATCAGCTCTAGAACAGACTCTGCCAGGCCAATGATGCCTTCTCAAAGGCCATTGAACTTGATGAAAAATATCTTACTTGACGATCTGGAACACAGTTCAGACAACTGTATCTCACCCAATAATAGCTTCCTTAAGGAATTTATGAAAGCATGATTGTTCAGCAGTTAGGTCTCTTATCTCATAGGTTTTATTTAACAAGTAAAGTCCCATGGAATTTAATTAAGAAAAGAAGATTGTAGGCAAGATTCTGAGGTAGTAAAATCTTGCAAGATGTTGTCCCTTGTCCTTGAGAAGTCTGAAATTGATCCATCCATATGTTGTTTTGTATTTTTCACACCTCAGTTGAATTTGCTTCCGTTATGTTGTACTGAAACTAAACGTATATGACTAACTAGTTTTTGTGATGTTTCAAAATCGCGCCAGAAATCCCCAGATCAGTAGCCTGGAAACTAAGGAGGCTGCTTTGTGAATCAAATAGCACACGTTTTGTTCTGCTTGGAGAATTCTCGAAGTGAAAATGAGTAAAGATTAGCAACATTGCTGAGTTAGATAATTTTGACCAATACCGAAAGAGCCTGAATGTTGTATGAATGGCTCTTTTAATTGAAAGCTCCCTCGTCAACGGAAAATGACTCATAAAGTTTTGATATACCTAGACATACCTCCTCCATACCTAGACCTCCATATACCTAGACATACCTCCTCCGTATTTCATAAAATAAATACATCTGCAAGGTGAGACAATGTGAGAGACCCCTCCATTCTAGCAGGGACGTGGAAGTTTGCCTACACTGAACCACAGTTGTTAGGAACTAAGAATTAGTAGTAACAGTGGTGTCAGCACACACTTTCCACATCCTTGGACAGCAATACCATAGAAGTGAGTACCGCTTCCACAAGACTCTTAGGCAAGCAAAGCTTTTTACTAAAAGAGAGAGTTTGTGCACAAGAAAGAAGGCCAGCTCCCTGAGTAGAAGGGGCAAGTTGCTTTTATAACAATAGAGAGGGCTGGTCTCGTGATCGCTGATAATTTCCACAAATTGTCAAACTTCTTGATCGGCAGCAGGTGGCTCCGTGGTGGCTGGCAGGAATAAGGAGTACTTCTTTGAGGGGAAAGGAGCGCGGCAGAATTTTCTGCAAGAAAGTACTGGAACGGATATGGATAAGGTTTATAGTTGAGTCTTGTTGCAACTAGGTATACTCGTGAGTGTGACAGAGATAAGGTTCATCTTTTATTCTTGCCAGCCTGGTTTTTGTCTATGGGACTCAGGCCCCCAGGACGTTTGTTCTTTAGCTTCCAAGGCCTATTTTGCTCAAAGCCGTTCCCTGGTCCTTTTCCAAAATGGCTGTACTCTTGTCTTCCTGTCTCAGTGGTAAGTAAAGTGGCCTACCCATAAAACACCAGCACCAGCAGTAAGTGATAGCAGATTCTTCTGTAGATAGCATATTGTGTGACACTCAGGAGAGGCAGGAGGACCAAAAGACCAGGAGCTTATTTGTAAATGGTGGTTTCTAGTGAAAGGGGGAATATACACAAAGACAAGGCAAGCACAGGGGCCGCTGGGAAGGTGTGCATGGTGCCCTTGTAAGGTGGCAGCAGTGGGGCTCCATAAGGTGATTCCTCAGGGAGTTTTCCTGGCTGGTTGCATTATTTTCTCATCCATTCACTGCATGAGAGTTCTTTGACTTCAGATCTCTGTCTTCTAGGGCAACAAGTGAAAAAGTTCAATTCTGCCTTTCTCGGTACATTCTTCTCAGTTATCTTCTCGGCTGCACTTTTGTCAGATGACTACAGTGAACTTTTAGTCGTTAGGCTCTAGCAGAGCCACAAAAATCTCTCATTTTATCTTCATGGAGGATTTCATCTGGTGGAAACTAAACACTGACTGCCTTCCTGTGTCTCTCCCTTGCCTCACAAAGACGCCCTGGAACTTCCTGAAACTCTAAAGCACACTTGTATTCAGAACGTCCTCGGGCTATTCAAGAATTCGGCCTCTGACATTAGAATAGAAAGTGTTTTGGAAACTACTTAGAGTTTTCAGTAGGCTTTTCCATGTTCGCTAGCGGGCTGTGGTATCCGAAAGATGTGGGCAGCCAGAGCCATGGTCTGTGAAGCCTCACCACACCCCACATCCCTCTGTCTGGAAAGTGCTACCCCTCCCCATGTCCAGTTGCATGTGAAAACTGCGTTCGCGTTCACCAGCAGCACTAATGTGTAAGTTCTCTCCAAGGAAAATCTGCCTTCTACCTGACTTGAAAACCCTGAGCTGAAATGTAGGGACAGTTAATGGTGGAATTGTTATAAGCAACCCGAGTTGCAGGGGGCACCCCCCAAAATCACTCTGAATACTGGTTTTCTGCTCTCGCTGCGCTTATGTAGGTTGGGTCCTGGTTGTAACCGTGATGAGTCTGAAGAAGCATCATGCCCGTGCTGTACCTTAAAGCATGTTCCCATTAGGCAAGGTGTAGAAGAGGGTGAATCTGGCAGGTTATTGGAGTTACTTAATGATTGTTTTTGGTTGATGATTTCAAAGTTGTTCTCTCCCTTGGACTCGTGGTACTAACTTTTTTAAATGATGCAGATGTCTTAGGAGACTGGTAGTTCTATTCTGAATAGATAACAGTAAAACTGGTAACAGTGAAAAGACTTTCTCTTATGACTAAGTTGATTTGTAAATGAGAATCAGTATTTAAACAGTAGTCCAGCTGGGACTGCTGTTTTGGATACTGTTTGACAGTATAGAGATCTATCAAAATTTTGTCCTACAGGATCATTTTAAGGCTGATAAGTTTCATTTCGTGTTTACTCGACACCAGACAAACCTAGGAGACAAACGTCATCCACAAAAGGAATACTTGCCTACGGAACTAGAGATGAAAAGCTCATCAATAAAAGCAATTACCCTGAATAAATAAATAAATAAAAGCAATTACCCTGGGAAGCCCAGAACTTCCAAAAACCAAGACAGGGACGTAAATCTAAGCAAAGAGTTTTATACCAGTTAAAATTGGGGTATTGAATCAACTAGAAAACCGGAACAATCTTTTCTGATACTTATTAACTTCCTCCGTCTTCCCCTGACCTATGATGAGGGCAAGCTCTAGCGTTCCACTCAGTGACAGCATCTCCTGAAATATTACTGAGCTTGGACAGTCCCTCCCCTGTGGTCCCGGCAAACTTCTTCGTGGAATGACAGCTCACTACCAAAGAGCAGCATTCCTGGAAGCCGAATGAGAGGGGATGTAGGTTCTTTCCTTCCATCCCGGGGTACTGCTCAGTTTTCCATTTCTGTATGGAGTCTGAGGAACACCCTGTGACCTGGAGTCAGATGGAAGCATGTGAAATCCCATGGACAGTGTTTCTGTAGGGAGGTTGAGTTATAATACACTTCCTGATCTTTATCGCTGAGTCATTACGGCATCCATGATTCAGATGCCTCTGTTGATCAAGTCCCTTCTGCCCCTTGCATCCTGTCCTCGTGATTCTTAGGAGACACAACCATTTTCCTCTGGAAATCCACCCTATCTGCCTTCCACTGCTGCGGGCTGCTCAGTTTGGTAGTTGTTTCCGGAAGAGCTGTGGAAAGGCGTCTGAAGAAAGACATCAGCATCCTCTGTTGGGAGATAGTGGGAGTGGGTGAGAGAGTGATGGGAAGGGTGGCATTGTGTCCTGTGGCAGTAGCAATCAGTGCTGGTAGTCAGTAGAAGGAATTCTGCAACTTACATGCATCCCTCCCCTCTCCTCCCACTGTGGTCCAGTGGGGAGAAATACCTGTTTTGGGACTAGAAGGAGAACATTGCCTGAGTCACCCCAGTACTGGAAATGTGTAGCGACTTAGCATTTATACACCAAAGGGCTGATGGGATTATCTTTACAACAGATACTTACTGGATCGGATTTGTTTTCCCTGCTGCACTTTTGGCTTGCAGGTTTTAAATGGTTTCTAGGTCATCAGAATTAGAACTGGTGACAAGATAAGGCTGGATCAGGGGAACACGAACTTTAATGTGGGGGGGCTCACTGAAGGGCTGGAATTGGACCACCAGAGAGGGGAGCCACTGCCCTGTGACCTTGGCTCCCAGCAGTAAAACCGCTACTGAAATAACTCTGCCCCTGGGAGCACATTTATTCAAAATGATCATAGTAAAGGGCATCCCTTATTCATTCTGAATTATGATATTTACGTTCAGCATTCTCATTATCAAATCAATATTTTGCTCCCCCTAACCTACTGAGTGAGATGCTCTGAGTGTTAACAGTACTGGAAAGCCTTAAATGCTCAGGTCCACAGAACTCTGAACACACAAAGGTAGGTTTGTGTGCCCAGGTTCTGAAGGTGCTTTATCAGATCCCTTCCTCCCAGCATCTGGACATTTCGTCCGGGGCTGCTTCTGGAGGGAGCCAAATCCTGGCAGGACCGTTATCTAGGGAACTACCCAGGAGGAAAATGAAGCCCAGTGTGGATCA